CTTGTGGGTTTTTAGAAGCATGATCACAGGCATGTGGAAAACAGATCCCATATTTTCTCTATCTGAAGTACTGAAATCTGAGTGCTAAGGAGGAGTGGGAGTGGGGTGGGGTAGAAGGCAGGGTGTGATCCTTAACATTGGGTGCCCAGACAGCACTCCTGCTGCTATTTGCCTCTGTGTAATGATAGATATAGTAATTGTCCTGATTTGAGCATCACATATTGCACACAGGTATTGATATTCAACGCTGTCCCCCATAGATTTGTTTCAATAAACAAAAAACAAAAAACAAAAAAAAAGAAAAAGAAAAAAATCTCTGCCTTGAGACCAAGGGTGTTTTCTACATTTCCTTACTTATTGATCAAAAGAAGTGAGGGCCACTTAACTTCTGTCATCCACACCTGTAGTTTAACGCTATGGACCTCTTGCCTTCAAGAATATTGGTTTTAAAAATAGGTGCAGATGTATATTTAGTAACGTAAGTATAGGAGGGTACTTCAAGTTCATGGAAATATTTGTATTACCTTGTGGGTTTTTAGAAGCATGATCACAGGCATGTGGAAAACAGATCCCATATTTTCTCTACCTGAAGTACTGAAATCTGAGTGCTAAGGAGGAGTGGGAGTGGGGTGGGGTAGAAGGCAGGGTGTGATCCTTAACATTGGGTGCCCAGACAGCACTCCTGCTGCTATTTGCCTCTGTGTAATGATAGATATAGTAATTGTCCTGATTTGAGCATCACATATTGCACACAGGTATTGATATTCAACGCTGTCCCCCATAGATTTGTTTCAATAAACAAAAAACAAAAAACAAAAAAAAAGAAAAAGAAAAAAATCTCTGCCTTGAGACCAAGGGTGTTTTCTACATTTCCTTACTTATTGATCAAAAGAAGTGAGGGCCACTTAACTTCTGTCATCCACACCTGTAGTTTAACGCTATGGACCTCTTGCCTTCAAGAATATTGGTTTTAAAAATAGGTGCAGATGTATATTTAGTAACGTAAGTATAGGAGGGTACTTCAAGTTCATGGAAATATTTGTATTATCTTTTTTTTTTTTTGTCTTTTGTCTTTTTTTTCCGTGTCCGGCAACGGATCGCAACCCTCAGTGTTGCCCCCGTACCGGACCGGGGACCGGCAACGGGATTGCAAACCTCGGCGCTGCTCCCGCGCCTCGCTCAGCCAGTGAGCGGGAACCGGTCTGTATGTGGGATCCGAACCCTCGGGCGGGAGCGCCGCCGCGCTTCCCAAGCGGCGCACTATCCAGTGTGCCACCGGGCCGGCCCATTGTATTATCTTTTAATTCTATTTTTACACGAACTTTTTGAAGTACTCTTGTATTTATTTAAAGACCCATATGGTTTGACTCACTGCTAGGTTCTTGGCCCAATGTCCTTTATAAAAATACAGCTTTGATAATACATGATTTAGTTATGTTTTCTTTCAGATGATTATTATTTTTAAAAAGCTTCTTAAATTCCAAGTTAAAGCTGTTTACATTCTAACTCAGTTTCAGAGCTGATTGGCTCAAAACCTCTGTGGGCCAGTAATGCCACATTACCCTCTTGCGGGCAGTGTGAGGGTCAGGGAGCTCTGCAGCTCCCTCCAAAGCCAGCTCTCCAATTGGACAGCAAGCAAATTCCAGAGGATAGATAGGATTAAGTGCTCCAAAGAGGATTTCCCAGCCCTCCCCCAAAGGAGGATCAAACACTCTGGTCTAGTTCTGGAACAAAAACAAGCCCCAGCGAAGGAGAAAGTGCCCGGTTAAATAGCATGAGGCCCTTCCCAAAGCCTCCGCGCCTCTCATTACCCCCATCTGGGGCTGGCTGGGGAGAGCTCTTTTCGGCAGGCAAATGTGTGCAGTGGATCCAGTCCCACGAGAGTGGGTTCAAAGGGCCTCCTTTGGTTTCCTAACTAGAGTCAGATCCTGTGCAGCAGTGGAAAGCCACGACCCCAAACCTCTTCTAGCTGCTTTTGGTGACCAATGGATAAACTCGGCCATGAAGCGCAATAGCGCGCCACAAAGAGAGCACTTTTTATGAGCTTCTATCTGCACACGCTCTCCTAAACTTAGGCCCCAAAGGATTAAGGTAATAAAAACTGCTTCCATTTTTTTGCGGTTTGTTTCTTGTCCTGCAGACAAAACCACCACCCACACAGAGCAAAACAGCTCCTCTCTCCGTGCTTCGTTCCACCTCACTCCCTTTTTCAAACCGTCCCATGCGGAGAGTGGAAGACGCTGTAAGGGGTGGGGGCACCAAACTTGTATTCCGTGTAAAGATGCCCCAGCAGCACACGTGTTAACGCATTAACATGGAAGGATCTGGGGTCACGGTAGCCGGCTTTCTATTAATAGGAGATAAAGCTCCTGTAGACATTAGTGGTAATGCCCTGACGGCCCGCGCTAAATTAACTCCTTCCGGGCCAGCAAGAGGAAACCATGTCCTTCCCAGGCAGATGTGTGTTTGAAATGCGCGTTTACACATGCACACATGGGGGCTTTAGAACCGTTCCCTTTAAACAGGCCAGACCCCAAGCCCATCCTGAGTCTTGTCTAAGGGGAGGGAGCGGAGAGGGCGGGCTGCCATGGAATGTCCGTCAGCTCAGCTTCGCCACGCATACTGCCAGGGCCACAGCCGCCAAAAGCACAGCGCTGAAAACGGTGGCGGCTAGGGCTTTGCTCCAGTCGCAGAGCCCCGCGCGCTCCTGCACCGACATGCCACCGGCCGAGGAGGGACCGACGCTGGACAGGAGCTCGGCGCCGGCCGCCTGCCGGGCTTGCACTGTCCAGCGGGGCACGTTGACCCTCATCTCCATGTTGTGGATCATCTCGCCCACCTGAAGGATGTCGCGCTCCAGCTGGTGCAGGTCCGCGACGTCGAAGTCGCGTTCAGCCTCGTGCTGCAGACTGCGGGCGCTCAGGGCGCGCGCCGCCACGCCAGCGGTGCCGCCCGCCACACCCGTACGCACAAGAGGCCGCCGCGGCGCGTGCAGCGAGAACGCTGCGCTCAGCTCCAGCGCACGCCGCATGTCGGCTTCCAGGAGGTCCAGGCAGCCGGAGAAGGCCACCCAGAGGCGCTCAAACTCCGCGCGCTCCTCAACGCCCAGGCCCCGGTCGCGCAGCGCTACTGTCAGGCGGGCGCAGGTGGTCACCGCCAGCTCTTGCGCCTTCTGGCGCGTCTTCTGCAGCTCCTCCCGCAGGTTCTGCGAGTCCGCCGAGCCGCCGACGGTCAGCACCAGGTGGTGATAGCACGCGGTCGTCTTGTTGAGCGCGTCCAGCAACGCCTTGCACTCATCCCTCGCCATGGCGGTGCGCTTCGGCGCGGCCCAGCAGCCCGCGCCCCTCTCCGCCTCACGCCCTCAGCGCGGCAGGACGCAGACAGCCCCGATGCTGGCCTTGGGCCAGGCGTCCGGAATGCTCTTCATGGCTCGTGACTTGCTCGGCGCTGCCGCCGCCGTCGACGGAGTCCTCCCGGGACCCGCGACGTGCGCCTCCGCAGAGCGGGCGCAGAGAGGGAGCCCCGTTAGCTGCCTCCGGTCTGCTCTTCCATCCTCCCCAGACGTGCGCCGAGTCACACGGCCCTTGCCTCTAATGTCGCTCCCTGCCAAAGCCGGGGTGCGGTCCCCATTCTCCTGCGGTGCGACCCCAGGGGTAGCAGGCCACCGAGCCGCGCTCTCCGCCTTAGCGGCTGCCAAGGGCGGCCGGGTCGGGTTTCCTAGGACCCGCCCACCCCCGCCCGTCCTGGCCGAGTGCCTCCACCCCCGGATCAGGGGTAGGAGGGGCCCCACGCGGGCAGGTCACGTGTGGGTCTCCCATCTCTCTCTCTCTCTCTCTCTCTCTCCCTCCCCTGTGCCCCATTACAGTTCTGGAATGTTAGCGCTCGACAGATCCAACCCTTCCTTATTTTATGGATGGGGAAACTGAGGACCAGGTAATAAGAGGGCCAGGCTCACGCGCTGTCCGTGCCAGCGAGGGGACTAGAATCCAGGGACACTGACTCCTAAGCCCTGTCGGCGACAGGGAGTTGGTGTGCCTCCTAGGACTGGCCACCTCCGTCCTCCAAAGCGAGCAGTGAAGGGCGGCCCGCAGGGCCGACGGTTCCCAAGTCGGGCTGTCCTTCTCGATCGCTGTCCAGCCCCTTATAACCGAGCTCCGACCCCACCCCTAGTGTCAGACAGGCTCTCGGCCCTGCCCCCTTCCGTTCTGGGCACGCGCAGTAGGTGGCTCTGGGAGGGGGGCTAGCTTGAGTAGGAAGCACTGTGATCCGCCTAAGTCCCACCCCCGGCTGAGCTGGACTCAATGGTTGCTTTGTGAACACGTCACTCTGGATCGGAGCGTTCGCTCATTGGGCCAGCCAGGGGCACTGGGGCGCGACTCCGCCCAACGGCGGAATATGGGGCTGGGCTGTGGCGCTGAGCTGCCGCGCGAGGGTGGTGGGGCACTGGGGTCCGAGTAGGGGACTCAGGAGGTGCCGTCGTAGCCCCGAGATGGGCTGGGAGTGAAACTATGTAGCGTTTTCAGTAAGTGTCCTTTCGCGTGTCTCTTCCTGCCCTCGGGACGGCTGCGTCTCGGGGCCTGGAGGCCGGGCGGGGCCCGGAGCGGGAAGGGGGAGGGGCTCTCTCTTCTCCGCAGCCGGCGCCCCAGGCTGGGTTGGCCGGCCCGGGGCGGCCTCCGAGGCCCCGCCAGTCCTCTCCAGGTCCGGTCCACAGCCGGGCACGCTTTGTCCCCTCTGCTCTTCGTATCCAGATGGAAGGTGGGCGGTGGCGCGAAGAATGCGCCCTCTGATCCCCGAAGCTCCAGGACAGACCTTCGGGTCCTGGGTCCGGGGAGCTCAGACTTAGGGGCTGTGGGCGGGGCTGTCGCTCACGCGCAGAGTCTCCTCTTCGGTTTCCTGGTGGCCTGCGAGAATTGGTGGAGCGGAGGCTGTGGGTGCGAGTCCAAGCCTCGGGCCCGGCTGTTGTGGTTTCCGGGGGGTGATGAAAGCGTGGGGGGCGTAGGGAGATCCTTGCCTCCCGCGGGGCGGGGTCTCCTCGTCCCCCTAGGTAAAGATTACTTCACAAAGCTCTTAAGCACCAAGAGATGTTCCGGATTCTGGGTCTGTTCAGTTTTTTTGTTGAAAATGGACTGCCCAGCGGCGCACGAGCCAGGCCGTGCCCCTCTGGTTGCCCCTTGT